ATTTAAAGTCACAGTATAAATGACTTTAGAATTATTTCCTGCCTTAAGTAATTCACACTGTTTTTCTCTTCTCAAGCACCCATGGACTTCAATATAATTTCATTTAACTCTCATTTATTGAGCATCTGTCTGTTGAAATGCATACACACAAATACACAAACACACACACACAAGTAGTAGGTGCTAGCGTGGGAAGTTACACACAGTACAAAGGTATGAGGAAGGAGAGCAAAATAAATTCAATTAGGAGATGGTAAGAGGATTCATGATATGAGCTAGGCCTCAGTGTAGACTGAACTAGATTCGATATACACTGGGAAAGAACACCACCTTCAAAGGCACGAAGGTGGAAAAGTTCAGGATTTGTCTGATGATTGAAAAGCAGATTCATGTGACCGGGACATCATTTGTGCCTGTGTGTACAGGTCAAAGCCAAAAGCAAGATGAGCAAAGTAGGTTGGGGTTACATTGTCGAGCCAGATCAGTCTATGGATGCTAAGTTAAGGGCTTAATTTTATGCATTATTCAGTAGGGAACTATCAAAGAGACACATTCATCCTGAGTCAGAAGAGGAGGAGGAAAGAATAGGTTTAGAAGTTGACAAGTTTTAGGTGATTGAGAGAAAGTTACAAGAATTCACACCTAATGAGTGAGATGATGATTAAATAGGTAGGTGTTTGAAGAAATGAAGCATCTTGATTAACTTTCGACTAGAGGAAGTTGATGACCAGAGAAACACTGAAGGCCAGCGGAGGTTCTGAGTAGAGCTATGATTATAGATTACATAACATGGAATTATGTTTTTATTTCACTAAATCTCTGCCACTTCAGTATATGAGCAAATAAATTGGGCAGCTGAAACTAAGTGTGAAAGAATAATTGACATCATGGATTAAGGAGTCAGTCTACATTTGAAGGGATGAGATTCGCAAAAGCAGCAGGGAAATTCAGGAGGAAGTGAAGTAGTTAAGGGACAAGAATTCTTAACTTTCTTTTATTTCACTTAAACATTCATGTGAACAAATAACTGTGAAGGAATTTATGTGAGCAAATATTGGTTCATATTATCTTCAAAGCAAACATATGAGATAGACACTATTATGATCCCAATTTACAGTTGGGGAAGCTGAGGCCTGAAGAGGTTTTTAAAACGTGCCCAGGGCCAGCCCCCTGGCTTAGC